ACAGGGAACTGCTGGGGTTCTGTTAGCAGACCCCGGGTTGAGCAAGGCAAAAAGGGAAAACAAGCCGAAATTCTTCTCTGCTAGAAGAACCACGCCGGCCATTTCATTGGGATGATGGAAACCAGAAGGGCCAACCCTGGAAGTCGCCTACTTACCAAGGACCTGGCCTGCTATCATCCTGCCATCCTCTCCCGCTACTGCAGAGCGGGCGTTGCGCTCGTTCACATACTGCACAAACGCAAAGCCCTTGTGCACGGAGCAACCCACAATCTTGCCGTACTTGGAAAAGATGGCTTCCACGTCGGATTTCTTGACCACGAGGGTATTGAGGTTTCCGATGAAGACGCGGGAATTGAGGGAACGGGGATCTGTCTTGTTGGTGACGTTGCTGGCCATAGCTCACCCACGCAGCAGAAAGGCTAACCTGCTGCCAAGGCCAGGGAAAGGGAGAAAAAGATGGGTCAGCGAAAGAAAAAGCGGTCAGATGTCATAGCTTTTTTACACAATATATAACCAACTGCAAAGAAAAACACAAACGCACACATTTCGGTGGCATCACCTGCCAGGTAGCACTTTCTCAGAAAGAAAAGCTACCAGCGTGTGGCATGCTGGGAAATCTCAGGTGCATCCTTCCTAGGGATAAGATACAGCAGTTTTGGCACACACACAAAAAATGTCAACGACGCTAGGAAAAAAAAAACTTTCCTGAAAAGCAAAAATTAAAGAGAAAGAAAAGGGAGGTATTTTGAACCATTAGCCTACCATAGTCCACTATCTCAAGAAAAAAAAAAAAGCTGTACGAGGATTGAATATATGAAAATGGTTTTGTCTAATGGATGCAATGGCCTTCAGCACAAGTCAACTCAAGCTGCTTCCATTTCCATTTTTCCCCCCCAGCATCGAGCATCTTCTGAACAGTGTCACCGTGACTCCTACCTTGTTCCAAGCGGCATTCTCTGGAAAAGGCAATCTACCATTTCAATACACGCTCTGGTCAGTACAAGCGGGGGCGTAGATAAGACAAATGCAGGAAGCCTAGCAGGCTTCAGTTCAGAGGCAATTAATAAAGGTTCTCTAATTATCAAGGGGCAATCTTCCCCGATTTCTTTTTTAAAACTGAGATGGATCTATAAATAAAGGGCGCCTAACGTTTTCAGGATCCTGCACGTTCTAACCTCCATCTTCAATGTAAGGACATTCTGCCAGGAATTTGTAAGAGTTAAAGAGTGCAATCCAAATCCAAATTAGGGAAGATTTACATGAAGGAATTAAATTTGCCACAAGTCTCTGTCCACAGATTTAGGCTGTGTGTTAGAAGGGCACCGCACTCGTATACGGTGCTTTGTACATGGCCATGCGCACCGTGTCTTTCTAGTAGCATTCTGAAAGCTTCTCCTGGTTACGTGCAGGAGCCGTGAAGGTCAGAAAAAGGGAGCGGCCTCTTCTAAGGAGCTGCTGACAAGACTGTGCAGAGATCCAAAGCACCTTCTTGTTTTGGATTCAAATACCTCTACGTCCCTTTTACGCATCAAAGTATTTTATATGATTTTAGGAAGCCACCCGAGCAAACGAATAGCTTTTATCACTGCTGGAACTTCACTCATGTGCAAACTCTCAAGGGAGGCCTATCTAGTTAAGTCTAATTTTGGTAAGGGCCTGGAGTAGCATTTTCTTTATCCGTATCCTGTACTCACTTTTCCCCCTCAGGCTGCTTACAGGACAGGAATTGACAATAAAATGCAAAGGCGGCATCTGTTTGCCAACAGTCCAAAGGGCAGGAGACAAAAGTGGAGGATGGAAGATTTGGCTTTGGTTGCTGAAGGCTCCAAACTGTTTCTTGCAAGCAAGTTCCCAGAAAGCTGCTTGTTTGTCTCTGCCAATCCCAACTCTTCAGTCCCAGCTAATGAGCACACAGCTATCTAGCCAGATGGGAGTGGACAGATGCAGGTTTAATGCACGTGTGTACACACGTGAACTAAGAGCATCAAGGACAAGTGAAACAAGATTAAAAGTAGGAATGACTTTCACTGTCAGAATTGAACTGAACTCTGTGGCTACTCCATTTGACTAAGGTTCTTTTCTCTTTGCTGCCTGATACCGACTTATCCCTAAAATACTGAACCACAGCTTTGATTTTACCTATATGTAGACAGGATTAAATAAATCCACTTAAGGTTCTCTCCTCCACTCCGTATCTCATGCGCTTCAAAGAAACTAAATTTTATTTCCTCTAATGAAGAGCAAAGCAAAAGCTTTGTTTGAAATAGGTTGTTTGCTTCACTGCTCCTCCCTTCTTCTGTTAAAAAAAAAAACCACCTTATTTCTGTTCAGTTTCCGCACAAGCACAGGTGGAATGTTATTTTCATTTCTGCCTGAATTCCAACCCAGGTAGGAAAGGGAAACCCACCTCTTCTTTTAAAAGCAATTTTAGCTAAATCAGCCTGGCAAAAATCTGTTAAGATGAATTAAAATCCTAGCCAGCCTCAAGTGGCGGGAACTGTTTCTTTACTGGAAAGTCTTTTCACAATATTTATTTGTGGGGTCTACAACCTCTTACTTTTTCTCTAGGACTTCAAGGAGACCTAGGTAGTAGAGTTCCATCTCCAAGTTTTGCTGAAAATCGTAAAGTAGATCAGACTTAGGGAGAGTGACTACTTCACAGATGTCCAGTGGCTGATGTGGACTCTCTATACCCTTGATGGCGAACCTGTGGCATGCGGAGCCATATCTGTGGGCACGCGAGCATTGCCCTAGTTTAGCTCCAGCGTGCATGTGCGCGCCAGCCACCTGATTTTTGGGCCTTCCGGGCCCACCGGAAGTCAGGGAAAAGGCTGCTTCTGGCCTCTGGAGAGACTCCGGTGGGGTGGGGAAGGCTGTTTTCGCCCTCCCCAGGTGCCAAGAAAGCCTCTGGAGCCTCAGGAGAGCGAAAAAGAGGCCTACCAGGCCCACTGTGCCATCATGTGCCAAAAGTGGGGGGAGTGGAGAGGGGGGGGGTCGCATATGCATGTGTGGTGGGAGCGGGACACATTGAATTATGGGTGTGGGCACGCCTGCACACGATCCCCCCGCACGACCCCTGCTTTTGGCACAAAAAGGTTAGCCATCACTGCTCTATACACAGGAAACAAGAAATTCTGCTCAAGGAGCGAAACATTCTGAATGGGGGAAAAAAATAACAGGTAATTTCTGTTCCCATATATGGCAATGCCAAATGTGCCCATTTGTTAATATGTTCAATCAGAATCTGCCTTCCTATAGTTTAAATCAGGGGTCCCCAAACTTGGCAGTTTTAAGACTTGTGGACTTCAACTCCCAGAATTCTCCAGCCAGCATAACATAGCTGGCTGGAGAATTCTGGGAGTTGAAGTCCACAAGTCTTAAAAGCTGCTAAATTTGAAGACCTCTGGTTTAAATCCTTTAATTTAAATCCTACATTCTGTGCTGATATAGGCCTTCTGTTGAACTTCCCATGCGTTAATCTCGTCAAAACTAAACAATCCTATTTCCTGCAGCCCCTCTTCACAAAAATACAGAGCAAATGAGCTTGGCCGTTAAGCAAAATTGTTAAGTTGCTGGTCACTGTAACTCTGATTGGTCCAAGGAAGTAATAATCCTTCAACTATTATAAAACCGAACCCATGAAAACCGTATCAGAAGCTAAACGTTTTGCAGAGGTATCACACAATTTGTTATCAAGTAGCCCTTATGCTAAAAAGCTTCTACCACTGATCAGTGAAGATGGAGAAATATATAGCTCAATTTAGCAATAATCTACCTTTTCTTCTTCCCATAATGTTCTATTGTTAGATTATAACATTTTAAGATGTCTTTCCCCTAGGAAGGGACAAACATTAACTGACCCACTTTTTGTGACCATTCAGAGCGTCCCATGGAGTTCCTACAAAATGTTGATCTTCTACATCAGGGTTCTCCAAACTTGGCAACGTTAAGACTTGTGGACTTCAACTCCCAGAATTCACTAGCCAGCACGGCTGGCTGACGAATTCTGGAAGTTGGAAGTCCACAAGTTTTAATGCTGCTAAGTTTGGAATCCCCTGTATTACATTATAGACTTCCTGCATTCTGAAGTTTCTAGAGTAGCAAATCTATCACGTTTCTCAACAGTATTTTGGTTAACGTTACATTTGTTGTTTATTACACCACTTCCCAAACTGAGTGCCTGAATTGTCTCTATATTTCTTTCCCTTTGTTTAGCTTTTATGTATATTACAGCGGACAATTACTGCATTTTGTGATATTTGCAAAGCATTTAGAAAACCCTGAGGGACTGCAGTTGCATTATTTTATAACTATGTGCTCTGAAATTCCAAGAAAAAAAACTTTTATTACATGTATCCTACACAATTCTGAATTTGGACGACTACTTTTTTTAAAAAAAAAACCAGATGATTGTTTAACCCAGTATTGGAGTCCATTGCAGCTCCACTAGTTTTCAATATATTTTGCCATTTCCCCAAGATCCATCATCAGCTGTTGAGTTCTGTCCCCTTTTATGACCTTTGTGCCACAGCTGCTAAGCGAACCACTGCAGCCGTTTAAGCGAATTGTGCAGTCATGACGTGAATCTGGTATTCCCCCCACTGACTTTGCTTATCAGAAGCTGGTTGCGCAGGTCACAAACGGGGAAACTGCCTGACCTCAGGACACACTGCAACTGTCACAAATACATGCCAGTTGCCAAGAGCCTGAATTTTGATCATGTGGCCATAGACATGCTGCAATGGTTGTTAAGTGTGAAAAACGGTTGCAAACCACATTTTTCCCCCAGTACCGTTGTAACTTTGAACGGCCACTAAACAGATACTTCTAAGTCCAAGTCTACCTGTATGCAGTTCCATAACACTCCCGAAAAGGACATTTTACTTATTTGTGATGCCAGAGTTCGAACAGTGCCCTCAGATATGCTATACAGGTGCATACACTTTAAGCAAGACCTTTAAGAGGGGATGGCCTGGAATTCAGCCAATGCAGCCCCTTACCATCAGCCAAGATGGGTATGCCCCTGCTCCATGCAAGGCTCCGCTGGTAGCTGCCTCTGTTACTCCAGACTGGGCATCCATGACGGCGCTTGTAGGGGGGGACGGGACGGTGCAGAGGAAAAGACCAGGATGGGAACTGAGAGGGCATGAAGGGGCGGAGTGGGGTCTCTGACCGGGGAAGAGGCTGTCACTGCTAGAGAGTGATCAGCCCCACAGACACAGTGCAGCAACAATTGAAAAATCGAATAGAAATAAAATATTTAAAAATGAAAAATAAAAATAAAAAAAAGCGTAGGAACTTCCTGAGTTGTTCAAATAAGTTCTGGAGAGGTATCAGGTTCTGTTCTTGACAGCCAGGCGATCAGTGAGGGAGGGGGAAAAAAAAAGAGTTACATGTGATCAATCCACTTTCTTTTTTTAAAAAAAATCGTGTTTTAAAAACCTGGTTTGTGTGTTTTTTTCCCCCCAAGGGGTTATATAAAAGCCCAGAGTCAGTTAGGATCATTCAGAAAAACTCCATTTTCATCTGGTTAAAAATCAGCAGTCATTTTTTTTTTTAAATCATCACCATCAGCAACACATCATCATAGTCACAGTCACCACCATTATTGCAGCAATAATATCAATAAAGTAACTAGCAACAACGATAAAAAGGAAATCAGTGGAAAGGCAGGAAAAAAAATGGAAAAAAATTGGAATAACTTACTGTAGCTGAAGATCAAAAAAATCTCGCTGTAAAAAAACAAAAATAAAAATAGCCCAGATTAGAAAAACGGGAGGTGTAAAAAGGTCAAAGTCAATAACGATTTTTTTTTCTTTTTTCTGTCCTTTTTTTCCCCCCCTTTCAAGCTCTCATTCCAGCCACGGTTACGGCAAAACCTGGCAGAGGAGAGAGCGTTCCTGGCAGAAAATAATCCAAGCCCTTTTGAACACCATTTCATTCTAAAAACGGCCTAAGAAAGGCCAGCTCACAACGAGGCTAAAAGGTTCTTCCTCTAACCCAGCTGCTGCAGGGAAAAAAAAAAGGTGATTTTTTCCCCCAAAATTACATTTTTCAATCCAGCTTTTTTTTTTTTTGCTTGATTTGCAAGGCAACACTGGGCCACGAAGGCACCGTTTTATTAAAACAACTTGTACTGAGACAGTGGGAGAGGGTGTGCGTGTAGTGGGGTGGGTAGGGGTTTTAAAAAAAAATAAAATAAAAACAAGCTGAGCTCCAGTGAAGGAAGGGTTGGGGGTTTTCTCCTTGCTGCCCTGTGAAAGGAGAAGGGACAGGATGAGTCAAGGGTACCCCAGAAACTTTGCCCACATCTCCCAGTTTTCCCCCCCACCCACACCCCCGAGAACACCAGCTTCCGGTTCCCATGTGGCTACTCCAATCTCACAGCAGCCACTCAGGTGTGATTAAGGTGCCACCTTAATCTTGCCATGTCTGTTTGTTGCCAACGAGTCGTGCTGGACAACTTCAAAGTCACCTGCAAACTTGTGATAGGTAGCTCATACAGATCTCTAAAGCAAAGAGGAGGAAAACTGAGCACGTGCACACGCCATACACACACACACACACACACACAGAAAAGGATCAAAGGAAAAGAAACAAGGTCTATACAAAAAGTGCACGCGCTAGGTTCTCGTTACAGTGGTAAAAGTCCTGGCAAGAGAAATTTCTAGAATTTAGATATCACCCACATCCCCATTTATTTACCTTTCCGCTCACCAACCGCTCAAATGCCAGGTAACTGGGACAAAGAAGTCACCCACCTATTTTCACATTTTACCTACTGAAATTACCGTTACAAACATGAAGCCTGCTAATTAATTCGTAATCCGAGGATTCACGTAAAACCGATGTAAAAACTGCCTGCTTTTGCCCATGCGTTCGCTAATTGACTGCGCAGGTCGTTAAGTGCACATGAAGTATCTCAGGGTGGGGGAGACCATGGGGGCCTAGTGATGGAACAGGCCATCTGCTTAAGATCACCCAAGGTCTCCCCTGACCCACTGAGATACCTCATGCTCCCCACAATTGTTTGCCCACCCACCCCATCCTGCCACACCGGGCCACTTACCTTGCAAAGATCTAGTGAGCCCGTCTCCTCTCCAGTCTCTCTTGCCGCGCAAGATCACGGCGCCCGGAAGCTTCCAGTCTCCACGCGCAAGGTTTGCAAGTCAATGGGACGCTTTTGAGGAGGCGCGATTTCACTCCCTCAAAGTGTCTCGAAGGCTTGCGAAATGTTTTGCATGGAGATTGGAAGCTTCTGGGAAGGGGAGGGTATTTCGTGATCTCGCGGTCTGAAGTCGGGCGAAATCACAGCCCCCCAAAAGCTTCCAGTCTCTGTGCAAAAGGTTTGCAAGCCGATCAGATGCTGGAAACAAAATCGTCCCGCTCTCAAAGAAACCGATCTCCTGCAAGGTGAGTCTGATGCGGCAGGATGGGAGAGGGGAAGCAATTGTGGAGACCAGGGGGAGGTGGGGAAAAAGGCAGTTGCGGTGCCTCTGCAGTTGTTCATAATGGTGAACGACTGCCGTGGTGCTGCAACATTGGAAATTTTGGGACCGTGTTGTAAACATTTGGGGGGGTTATCACGTAACTTCGAACGGTCACTAAGTGAACTGTTGTAACTCAGGGATTATACCTGTATTAATTTCACTTTTTCTGGACATCTCCTCAGTGCTGTTTTCTCTGGGGGAGAAACAGCCTGTCTTTCAAATGATCAGTCTGATCTCAAATGCAGCAAAGGTGCAAGCTTTAAGAAGCCATTTTGGAATTTATCAGAGAAAAACAAGAGTAATGTGTAAGTAAAGCTAAGTCTCTACTCAGATGCTCAGAAAAAGCTTTTCCAGATCAGCTTACATAAGTTGTTCAGCAATTCAAGCTGCGTGTGGCCGTGGAAGCTTTCCTGACTGTTGGGACAGGTAAGTGTTGGTAACAGAAAGCTAGGTAAAAAAAAAAAATTAAGTTTAAAAATTGCAAAAGGGTGTATAGGTAGTCTCTGATTTACAAGCTTGTTCAAAGTTACATCATTGAAAAAAGTGACTTAGAACCAATTTTCATACATGCAACCGTTTCAGCATCCTCATGATCATGTGATCAAAATTCAAGACGCTTGGCAACTGGTTCATATTTATGACGGTCACAGTGACCTGGGGTCAGGTAATCCCAGTTTGAGACCTTCTGACAAGAAAAATCAATGAGGAAGCCAGATTCACTTACCAAGCATCTTTAACTTAACTGCAGTGATTCACTTAACAAATTGTGGCAAGAACGGTCATAAAATGAGGCAAAGCTCACTTAACAAACGTCTCGCTTAGTAACATTAAATTTTGGACTTAACTGTGGCTGTACCTATATTGGTGGATGGTCAAAGACCAGATATTTCACTTAGGATTGCCTCGTTGTTTATTTAAATCCTGGCCTAGAGCAAATCCTTGCCATTATAACTCACCCACTGCAGTATAATAAGAATATTGGAAAAGTTCATCATTTCCCTGTGTCTGTGTGTAATGTGTAACTTATGACTGGTGAATCTGTGCCTTTTTCATGCTGAGGATTACATATGGTGTTATGATGAGATTCAGGAATTAATTATGAACTATAAGTGGTCCTCAATTTACGACCACAGATGACCCCATTGCTAAGCAAGGCACTTAAGTGAACTTTGCCTCATTTTACGGTTTTTCTTGCGGCAGTTAAGTGAATCACTGCAGTTGTCAAGTTAATTTTAACCCAGTTTAAGTGGGTTGACTTTGCTTTGTGAGAAGTTCACAAAAGGGGATCACACGATGGACACTGCATCCACCCTAAACACATGCTAGTTGACAAGTGTCCGAATTTTGACTGTGTGACCATGAAAATGCTGCAAGGGTCAGGTGAAAAATGATCATAAGACATTTTCACTGCTGTTGCAACTTCAAACGGCTTTACGTCAAGGATTATCTGTCCTGTGTATCCAGAGTGTTCTTAAGTTCTACCTTCTATGTTACAACTTCAATAACTGAATTGGTAGCAAAGTAACCTCAGGCTCTGTTAACATATGCAGAATTCTTGCATCTGGCCAATCTACAACCGCACTGTTTGAAAAGTGTCATGATTGGCATGGCTTCCTTGCCAAGATGCCGTCTTGTTACGAAACAAGAAAAAAAAAAGGCATTGTGGCTTTCAGCGTGAGACTAATCCATCAGCCTTACGATAAAAAATGCTTTTCAAACTTTCATTTTTCATACCAGGGACTGCAAGCAAAGCGAAGAGACTCCCTCCTAAATCTGACGCTGCTGCGAGCTCACACAAGTTTAAAACATTAAGCACAAGTTCAACGAAGAAATGCATTACGAGTTGCATCATTTTTGTTGGCAAATACAGCACAGTACCTTTCTATCAAATAACCGAGTTAATTCAGAAACTTGCCTTTGCGCTAAAAATATAAAGCAGGCCCTTCTGAAGTTTGTGTCACTTACAGAAATCAGCACAAATAAAACTATCTCACATTTTTAAAAAATATACAAAGAAGTATTTTTGTGTCAGTCTTTTGTGGGAGCAAATTCATACTGAATGCAACTGCATTTGTTTACACTTAAGGAATACATTTCTATTACAAAAAATGCTATCTACTTGTTTCAAAACGAACATGCATCCCCAAAGTGCCAAATCCTTAAAATATCTATTGTAGTAATACGTGAAATAGTACCTATGTTTATTGCTCCAACGTAAATGTACATCAGATAGCTGCCCAACATATAGTGTGCCAATTCTGATCCCTTTAGGCATTTTACCATCCACAATTCAACCTCCCTAGTATTGTGTTTGTTTTTTTTTAAATCTGCTAAAAATCACAATCTGATCGTGGTAAGTGTGCGATATACTGTGCAAATTCCTGCTCTTAGGCGTTTAACATCCACAATTCAGCCTCCCTAGCTTCTGAAGTGTGTGTTTAAAAAAAAAATCTGTCAAGAAAAAAATCACAATCTGATCATGGCACGTGTGCGATATAGTGTGCAAAATTCTGATGCTTTTAGGCGTTTTTTTTACCATCCGCGTGGTAAAAATCTTCATATCACGCCTTACGAAGAAATATCTAGGTTTTTTTTTAAAAAACAAATGGAGCAACCCATCAGCCACTACCTTCCCTTCCAAGGTACTGTTTTTTTTAAAGTCAGTTTTGGCTACCTTCCTTCTAAGGTGGTGTTGTTTTTTTTAAAAAAAGTCAGTTTTGGCTACCTTCCTTCTAAGGTTTTTTTTTTTTTTAAAGTCAGTTTTGGCTACCTTCCTTCTAAGGTGGTGTTGTTTTTTTTAAAAAAGTCAGTTTTGGCTACCTTCCTTCTAAGTTTTTTTTTTAAAGTCAGTTTTGGTTACCTTCCTTCTAAGGTAGTGTGTTTTTTTTTTTAAAAGATGTCAGTTTTGGCTAACTTCCTTCTAAGTTTTTTTTTTTTTTTAAAGTCAGTTTTGGCTACCTTCCTTCTAAGTTTTTTTTTTTTTTAAGTCAATTTTGGCTACCTTCCTTCTAAGGTGTTTTTTTTTTAATCAGTTTTGGCTACCTTCCTTCTAAGGTGTTTTTTTTTTAATCAGTTTTGGCTACCTTCCTTCTAAGGTGGTGTGTTTTTTTTTAAAAGAAGTCAGTTTTGGCTACCTTCCTTCTAAGTTTTTTTTTTTTTAAAGTCAATTTTGGCTACCTTCCTTCTAAGGTGTTTTTTTTTTTT